AGTTGGAGCATGAAAATAATGTTAGAGACCAATGGGCACGGCGTTCCAATATTGAAATTTGTGGCATTCCCGAGAAGAAGAACGAAAATCTTTTCGAAATTATTGAGAATATATCGAAGCACGTTAATTTTTCTTTTACCAAATCGGATATTGATTTTATAACCCGCGTTGAACCATCTACCAAGGACTCCAAAAAACCTAAACCAATTATAGTGCGATTTATATCGAGGTATAATAAAGATGACTTTCTGTGTACGGCAAAGATACTTAAAAGCTTAAAAGCATGTGATGTTGGTTTTACTGGTACTCAATCTTCGATATTTTTCAACGACCACTTGACCAGTTTAAATAAATCTTTATTGCGCCAGGTGAAAATTAAGGCTAAGGATAATAACTATAGATTTGTATGGGTTAAAAACTGTCGTATTATGGTTAGAAAATCTGAATCTAGCCCTATTTTACACATAAATAATATGACGGATTTATTCAAAAGAAAATAGGAATTATTACATTAATTACTGTTATTTTAACTTTATTATGGCTTATGATATGTTATTTGCATTACTGTTGGTAGTCGTCCAATTTGTTTTGAATGTTGCATATGACAAACTTATTTTTATTTTTATGGTTGTTCTCTTTTTCGTTTTAAACGTAATGTATGATAGGCTTATTTTCATTGTGCATGAGACCTTGACACATTCGGTGATAGTTTTAATTTCATATTATTTAATTTATACGGTTACTACAACATTTAAATATATTTTTGTTTATACACTTCTTTCTAAAGTATGTACGACATATATATATTTACATCTGTATAAAAATCGGTTCCAATTTAAAAAATTACTATCAAAACGTAAGGGGTCTACGTACTAAGACTGACTTGCTTTTCAGAAACGTCTTATATCATGAGTACGATATAATCTGTTTCACTGAAACTTGGTTACATTCGGGTATATTCGACTTAGAACTTTTTGACGCACGGTATTACGTATATAGAAGCGATCGTAACTACAAAGTCAGAGGTGATACAATGGGTGGAGGAGTTCTGATTGCAATGAGACGTAAGCTAAAGGTAACTAACGTTGAATGCATCCCGTCAACGGATTCAGCTGCTGACGTGATTCGTGTTTCTATTTCATTTGAACGACATACACGATGCAACATATACTGCTGTTATTTTCCACAATGTCGAATTCATAAAGATGTGTTGTCAAACTTTTATGAACATATCTCTGATGAAGTTCTCTCTTACCCTGATGACTACTTCATTATATTAGGAGATTTTAACATACCTAACGCAATCTGGTCGAAAAATAGTAATGCTGATGTGACCTTACATGGAGATTTTTCATCGGATACAGTTAATGAACTAGCAAATTTTCTTTCTTTTAATAATTTTAGTCAGTATAATATATTTAAAAATTTTAATGATCGTATTTTGGATCTCTTAATAGCCAACATTAATTGCATAGTCAGTTTAGTAACTACTCCAATAGTTTCAGAGGATTCGCACCATCCAGCTTTTGAGTTTACAATTTTAAAAACACATGAGAAACTACTCGAGGCTCGGACTCACACAGTCAAGTTATATAGAGATGCCAATTATGAGGAAATAAATATAAATCTTTCGCAAATAGCCTGGGAATCTAGTTTGAGTGACGGTAATATCGATGTCTCTGTGTCGAATTTTTATAACATTTTAAATAATATAATAGAAAAATACGTACCTACTAAAACTATTAAATTTAACACTAAGTACCCGATTTGGTATAATAGCGCATTGATTAAAATTGTAAATGAAAAATTAAAATTTCATCGCAAGTGGAAGGTGTATAAACAGGATAGTGATTACAAGTCTTTTGCCATACTAAGAGAGAGACAAAAATTAATGGAGGACGACTGTTATAACAAGTTTATCAATAATGCTGAATATAAGATTGGTATTAATAGTAAATTCTTTTGGTCTTTTGTAAAATCAAAACGAAAATGTAATGATCTTCCTGACATAATGTTTCTAGATGATAATACGACTTCAGATCCTGTGAAAATATGTGATTTATTCAATACTCATTTTAGCTCAGCTTTTAGTGTTAATAGTCCAAATCATAATACTCAGATTTCTAACTCCGCTCACTCGATTAGTATAAATTCGGTCATTTTTACAGTCCCTCAAGTTTCAATGTATTTAAAACGCTTAGATGTCAGTAAGGGACCAGGACCTGATGGCATTCCACCCTTGTTTTTACAAAGATGTTACCGTCAATTAGCTAAAATAGCATTAGAACTTCCATGAAGTTGGGTGAAATGCCTTTAGAATGGAAAAAATCGTTCATAACTCCCATATTTAAAAGTGGTAATAAGCACGAAATTTCAAATTACCGTCCAATTTCAAAATTAAGTTCGATTCCAAAACTATTTGAGAATATTATTTATGACACACTCTCCCAAATAGCTCGACCAATTATAATTCCTGAACAACATGGTTTTATAGGTCAAAAGTCTACAGAAAGTAATCTTTGCGAGTTTCTTGATCACCTCTATATTGCAATGGATAGTGGACTGTAGGTAGATGCAGTGTTCACCGATTTTACAAAAGCATTTGACAAAATTTCACAAAGTATTCTGATACACAAATTAGATCAAATCGTTGTACATGGTCATTTACTTCGATGGATATCTTCTTATCTTAGAAATCGTAGTCAGGCAGTTGCAATAAAAGGACACTGTTCATCATTTCTCCCAGTTTGTTCAGGTGTTCCTCAGGGTTCGCATCTTGGTCCACTATTGTTTATAATATTTATAAATGATGTAATATCCTGCTTCCATAATTCCAAAATTCTCCTTTTTGCAGATGATATGAAAATTTTCAGATCTATTAAATCTATAGAAGACTGTAATCTACTTCAAGAGGATCTGTGTAGGCTTAGCTCATATTGCCAAACAAATCATATTTACTTGAACATCAAGAAATGTAATATTATCTCATTTACTAGGAAAAAGAATCCAATCCTCTTTAACTATAAGCTCGACGATAATTTAGTAAAGAGAGCAAATGAACTGCGTGATCTTGGTGTTCAGTTGGATAGAGTTGTTACTGAGATCACATATTAATATAATAACTCAAAGAGCTTATAAAATGCTAGGTTTTGTGATGCGTATCTCAAAAGATTTTAAAAACTCTACAACATTAATTATACTATTTAATACTCTGGTGCGATCTATTCTTGAATATTGCTCTTCATGTTGGAATCCTCAATACAAAGTTTATGTTAAAATGATTGAAACAATCAATAATAAGTTTCTGCGTCACTTAAAGCGATATGATTCTTCCGTAGACTCCTTTATTGATAGCTTACACAGTTATACACTCGAAAAACGCCGTGATATAAGAGATCAAATGTTGTTGTACAAATAAAAAACTACATAATATCATCGACTCACCCCTACTTTTAAGCAAAGTGAATCTTGCGTGTCACCGGTTAGGTGCACGAAAAAAAGCCTCTTTTTGCATTACGTAAAGTAAAAACGAAGTATGCTTCTAATAATTTTGTATCTCGTACATGTAAAAATTTTAACTTAAAATATTGTGAACTAGATATTTTTTCACCTTAAATATAATAGTTATAAAAAGAATATTGTAAAACTTAATTTATAATTGGTAGCTTCACTACAGATTGTGTGTATTGTATTACTTTTATTTTATGCTTAGTACTTAATGTTTTAATTATAAATACCATTCAGTTATTTTTTTTTCAATCTTTAAACATATTGTGGTTGCAAGCTTTTAATATGTTTTAGATATCTGTGGAAACTTCATTGGTTTTAGGATTACTTTTATATGTTTTATAATGTATTTTTTTATTGTACTGTATGTTTCCCTGAAAAAGCAAATAAATAAAATAAATAAATAGTTAACTCATTATAGGTATTTTGATTGTTGCTAGCGTTGCCAGACTTCCGGATAAAGCCGGACACAGGCAGGCTTTTTGGTTGCGTGTCCGGCCAAATCATACGGTGTCCGGCCCGTCTGGCTTTTGTTAAGCTTTTTGAAGAAGACAATCGTTTTTGGCCAACCAGATATTTTAACGTAATTTAACTCATAAAAAAGATTCCAATTTACCATAGTAAACTGGCTAAAGATTTTATGAAAATCTATCCGGTATCATGATAAATAATACAATTAAGAATCAATAGCTACTTATAAATCACAACTTTTTTATACTTTTTAATATTAAAACTGCACTATTACAACATAGAATATCGATAAAAACTACTAGACAGTCGCACATATAAGTTTTAGGTTATAATGAGATTGCCGTTTGATTGTTAATTTCTCAGTATTCCCGTTAGTTGCGGTAAAACTGATATCACTAGTATAATCTAGAGATATATGCAATAAATCGACATGCATTTCATTAAATTACGCCACAATATGTGGTGAGCCCATTCTCAATACAAAAAGAAATTGTCTTTTTCACGTACTCGCGTACATAATATTGCAATTATTTAAATTAATATTTTAATGAATATTGAATGATTAATTTATTTAAGTGTGATTTATTCAATTGTATTGTTATTTCATTAGAATTTGACAATATTTTATGGTAAATAATCATTTACCATCAGGTGGACTGTATGCTCGTTTGCCACCCTTATTCTATAAAAAAGCGCCTTGCTACAGCTATATTATGTTTGTAGCACGAATGTGTCAGTCTGATCGGGGAAAGACCACCTTCTCACAGAATATCAGCGTAAAATAGTAGCTCAATGCTACTTTGTTTCGTATGGCGAGTCTAGAGTACCGAAGGACTTACTGGAAACGAGGCTATCTTAATCCTCAGGGGTGGCAATTCATCTGCATTTTGATTATCAAGAATTGATGTAGATCTATGAGCCACAACATTCACTTACCATCAGAAGGATTGTGTGCTCGTTTGTCGCGTTTATTCCTTAAAAAAATACATAGAAGTGTTTTTGAGTTTGGTTGGTGGGGGCAGGTGTGCGACTTCTTGCTGGACCGGTCGCTGATCATCCCGGAGGAGGAGCAGTACATGCTGTCGCTGGAGATGGAGCCGCGCACGGCGCGGGGGCTCTGCGGGCGCAGCAGGCGCGCTGGCGGCGGCGCCCGCCGCGCCCGCCTCTCCCGCCGCACAGCGCCGCCGCCGCGCCTCGCTCGCCGCGCTCGCTCCACTGCGAGCCGAACGCTAACCGTTAACCACCTACACGCACTACTAATACACCTCACTACCCCACTACACTCAATGTGAGATCCTACTGTGGTCACACCTAAATACGTTTAAGCGGATAGTAAGTGATCTAAAATTTGGATGTCAATCACCTTATCGGCGTGCTTCGGCAGTAAAACCGACTCATGTGCTGCCTCCGCAACTCGCTCGCCACACTCGCACCTCTGCGGACCGATCACTAAGCCACTATCTCACCACTTCACTATACTCGACCTTACTCCACTCAACGTAACCTCCTGTTACCTGTGATCAACGAATGCCTTTTGATGTAAACTAACTACACTCGACATGAACTCCTAGCTGTGGTCAACAATTCTACGATCTACTAATCTTTTATCAGAAACGGATCAACTGTAATGCAATAATACCGTTGCCTATAATACTGGCAGAAAAATTATACCATTGACAAACAAAATAGTTTACAAAAAAAAAACTACCTCAATTATAATTCAACGTGTTTTCATAACAATTTTTTATCACAAACTATCTATTTTTCATCACATACAAACAGTAGAAAAAATGTATATCATTGCCAGTGTAATGGTTTTAAAAAAAAAACGTAAAGGATTTGGTAAACTAAAAAAGTAATAGTTTCAAATTCTAATAAAAAAATGTTCGCCTCATTTATATCATATTGTCTATTTGTATTACATCAGACGCATATTATTACTATTGTATTGCACGTGAACGATAATATCAAGTAGCTGCGTCAAGGTTTATTTGCTTGCGTAAATATACATACTCGAGCATTTCTTACTCTAAGCGTTTATACACAAAGTCAATATGCATTGAATGTGTTTGTGTATTATGCATTTCATGATTAAAAACGTTAAAGAGATTTATGCTGACAAATGTATCGATTGCGTAATCATCGTTATCATTATCATCATTATCATAACACTCTTCAACTCTATTTGTCTTGGAACGAGTTGGTGCCTATTTCCTGTTTAATCGATACGATCATACAATTACATAGGATATAGGCTAGAATGCAATATCAAAAGACGCATGGACAATCGCTACAAAACGAAACCGTTCGTAGATGAATTCAATTAAAATTCCAGACTGAAGCCAACATTTTTCGCTTAACAAAAATTTGGTAAATATATAACACTAGTCAATTGAAATACTTTTGCAAGTTATAGAAATCATATTATGATTATTTATTCTGTGGTACAGTCGCAACTTTATTTTAGGTCTGATTTAAGGTTTATTATCGTACACCAAACGTAAATCTTGAGAGCGAGTTGTAAACATTACTAAGGGCAACTTACTATGACCAGCAGAGAAGGTTCAGAATAAGTAATATAGGCGAAAGATGACGAAAAAATTAATAAAAAAATCTCAAAAATTGTCATTTTTGGCTTTGAAATTCAGAATTCGTTGTAAGGCATAATTTTAATTGATTGTCATTCATAAATATCTAACGCCTGCTATTTTATTATATTTTATTACGCACGCATACATTAGTAAGGGTCGCTTAGTTACTTTTCGCCCGTCTTCCCAGGAACGCGCGTACGCGAAGTTGTTGCCATAAATCAAATTCAATTTGAGATAATTTCAAATAAAAGTAGAAGCTTTATTTACTCGTATTTTCAAGCACTGCAACACCGGTATATACTCTGAAAAATATCCTATACATACTCCTTTTTGGAAAATTCACTGTTACCGCTTGTAATAATAAATGAGTTATTAGATGAAACTATATAAATAAACGTCTTTGATACATCATACGCATATTACTATCTATTGTTTTAGAGTTTTCAACCTCATTGAATTAGGAGTGTTCTTAGACATATCTAGGAAATGTGTCCCATATTAAAGTTTGCGACTGTATATAATATGTATATATGTATATTAAGTATATGTAATGACGCTATATTTTTTATATTTTTGAACACTACAAAACCAATTTTTCTTTAATGTACGTATTAAGTTTTAACACAATACTAAAAGTAGCAAATGCTTATAAATATGTCGAAGTTAATTATTTATGGTGGTATTAACCAGTTGTTGCCTACTAAGCACGTACTAGGTTCTGTGCCTGATCTCTCTTCGGTCATGTCGGATTACTGTCCCATCGTACCATGAGATAAAATAAAGATAAAATTACTTACAATTAGTTGAATGCACCCAAACTCAAAAACTAGCAAAACGCTGTATACTCAGTTTCTTCCGCCTCTACTTAATGGATTAAAGAAATAAAAATAAGTTACGTTTGTTATCTGTACCTTGTACGAATCTGAATGCAAATTAAAAAAAGATCGATCTTTTAGACCTCAATTTTTTTGTGAATCGATTCATCACATTTCGATTCGAATCGATTCAAAATCGATCTTTTTCGGAAAGAATCGACATCCCTAGTTTTTAGTCCCCACCGATTTGAAAGTTGGGTGGCGATGCTGGATGCATGGGTGGGAGTGGGTCAATTCTAAGCACCGTGGGCTTTTAGATAATAATAGTAAGAAGGACATCAAAATTTAATTTGGCTACCACTAAACTAATCGACGTACCCAATAATATACAAATTTGTGGCTTAAATAAAATATTAGAGTTTCATTCTAAATAAATCTTAGTGAGAATACTAGGTTATAGTCATGATATAATTGTATTGTTAATGGTTTTTAATTCGTCTGTAAAATTTCCGACTAAAAATACAGACGTCCAAAAGTGGATGAAAACTAAATTATAAAAATTCCTTACATTCATTTATACATCATCATCATCATCATTATAGTCCATCACCACTGTTAAACATACAATGCCTTTCCTAAGTAATGCTGCAAAGCATGATTCTGAGCCACCCGCATCCCTCGATTTCCTACATCTCTTACCAGGTCGTCACTTGATCTAGTAGGGGGCCGCCATAGACTTCACTTACATACAAGATACTTACGTACAAGAAAAGATTACCCCCTAATCTGTGGATACAAGGCTGCTTACTCGACTATCTTTCTTCCCCATCATTGTTAGTTCTTCGAGCTATATGGCCGGCCCATTACTGTTTCAGCTTACTGATCCGTACGTATGTGCAATATATACAATATACAGGGTTATTTTGCAATAACCAGCCAAATTTGCAGAAAAGGTCCAGAATAAGTAATATAGGCAAATGATGAAGAAAAATTAATAAAAAAAATCTCAAAAATTCTGTCGTTTTAATCTTTTAAATTCAAAATGCGTGGATATGCATTATTTTAACTGATTTTACTGCGCACGCACACATTCGTCAGGGTCGATCGGTAAGCAAAAACGTTGTTGCCCATAAATCACATTCAATTTGGGATAATTGCAAGTAAAAGTAGAAACTTATTTATTCGTATTGTCAAAAACTGCAAGAACAGTTTATCATTATTTATAAATTTAACTTAAGTTTAAAATTTGGCTACTCTTCGAAAAATAACCCTGCACTTATGTATATTATACACCCATGCAAGTCAAATTGTTACATGTAACTTCAAAAGACAATGAAGAGAGCTGTCTGTTGACAAGTGGTCTGATTCAGTTTGCTCGAGACTCAGATTAAAGAATAGACAGATGGAGCGCGTAGAACACGAGAGTGAAGCTACGAAAGCAAATACAAATTCAGAAGCGAATACAATCTCGCGTCAGTACTAAACTACGCGTCGTATTGCTTACACGTCACAAGTGATTTATTATTTTATGTTAAAACATGCCGTCTTGTGTTTTTAAACATTGTAAAAGTTGTTCCCAAAAACAAAGAAAAGAAGATGGGAGTATCTTTCCACAGGTAACTAACTATTGCTTATTTTAATGGTTTGTTATTTATGTTCCCTCTAATATATTTGGCTCTCTCGGAACACAAAATATTGTCAACAATTGGTCTGTGTTGCCAGTTTACATCGAAATAGGTCTCCTTGAATTAGGGGAATGTGCATCGGACATAGGAGGATTGATTTATTTATACATTTATATACGGAAATAACTTATGTATATATATTATATCTTTGTTCGAAAATCTTGTTATTTATCTTAACCCACCAATTAGTGCTATGTTTTTCAATTTTGAAATTTTCTATGGGCCGCTCTATTTTATTGTTATATACAATAATTTGACTTATGTTTTTGCAGATTGCCGACGGATCTAGTACTACGCGATGAATGGGTTACTATTATTCGTCAAAGTAGGCAGGATAATAATTGGATGCCTTCAAAATTTTGCGTTGTATGCTCATTGCATTTTAAAGAGGATGATGTATACTTTACCGAAAAAGGTCGTCGATTGATAAAATCAATTAAATGTAATTAATTATGCGTATTTAACTTTTATTGAATCATTAATTATTTGAAAATAATTATTCTGTCCAAATACTACTTAATTACCTATAAAGCAAATGCATATTTTTAATTTTAAGTTGGGAAATTGGGAGTTTTTTCTCAATATCTGGTAACTTTACACACACATAGGTGCACGTGTCCCTACAATGCCGCTCCTAGCTGTCACGTACACTTAAATAATAAGTGGCTTCACATCGTTTGTTGCGCATGTTCTGTCTATCTGTCTATTTCTATAATCTGAGGCTCAATAGATCAGAATAATGCAAGTGTAATCATACATGTAATTCCTTTTTAATAGGGGAAATACGTACAAAATGACATACAGTTTTGTTTTTAGGCCATAACTCTTTATTAATCAATCACAGCACATTCATATTGTACAACAGTAATCTTTGGTTTTATACCTATAAATTCTAATAGGTATTTAAAAGATAAACTAACTGGTTTTTTTTTAAATTAAAGTTTGAGTTCAACAAAAATCCATTTTGTCCATAGCATATGGACAAAATAACGTACACTACAAAATTAATAACATTAACGACAAAGCTCGCAAATGAATCGCTTTGTTCGTTTAGGAACGTCCGCGCAAGAAGAATGGGTCCACTGCGAAACACTGCAACCAGTCTTCTCCAGGTCTTGACCGAAAAAAAAGATCGTTGCAACATATGCAAGAGCAATCCTCTTCGTCATCTTGAGCGTTGCTTGCCAAATTTTCTTCTTCA